CTCCTGTGTTAGAATACTCTCTTTTATGATTCTGCGTTTCCAATCTTGTTCCCAGGCTAATGTCTCAACCTTAGAGAAATCGAATTCATGATGATACTTTTCTACATGTTCAACTAACTTGGAGTTTGCTGTCATCCGTCTAATGTTCGATTTATGTTCTTGCATTCGTTTATCTCGTTTTCGATTTGTTTGACCGATGTAAACATGTTCACAATTAGAACATGGGATCAAGTATTCCTGGTCTAACCAGGAACTGATCAAGAACGAAATCGAACACCTAAAAAACACACTGATTTCGAATGGGTACCCACAGCATATCATTCGAAGAGGGATTCGCGAAGATGAGATAATTGTAAAACGAGTAAATCAACCAACAGACATTCCATCGGAGAAAAAGATTTTCTTTACCATACCGTACTATGGTCAAGAATCCGTAGTATTTGCTTCAGAGATAAAGAAAACGCTTCGCAAATTTCTACCGTTAGTTAACTTTCGTTTTTCCTTTAAAAAACATCAGACACTTAAGAACATTTTCTTACCTATAATGAAAGGGAAGGATGAGTGAGTCCAAGAAAGAGAAGAAATTAGTTTACTTGATCCCATGTTCTAATTGTGAACATGTTTACATCGGTCAAACAAATCGGTCAAACAAATGTAGAAAAGTATCATCATGAATTCGATTTCTCTAAGGTTGAGACATTAGCCTGGGAACAAGATTGGAAACGCAGAATCATAAAAGAGAGTATTCTAACACAGGAGAAGTTAGGAAAAGCAATAAATGACACAGATCACATATTGCAGGTGTTCGCCTAACCCCGTTAGAGCAGTTGCGTGACCGAAAAAACTCATCAGTTCGTTACGAACTGATGAGTGTATATAAAAAAAAACGTGCAGCTATGCCAACTACAGGTTCTCCTTGAGTTATTTCTCTTTTTCTGTTCTATCCTTCTTATCTATTCGCTTTCTTTTTATACCATCGTTTGTTCGAATGTCTATTACATTCCTGATGATGCCAACTGAAAGCTCGAATAAAGTATTTTCAAGACTGAAAGTCATGTTATTCATAGCAGTTCTATATTCGATTTACAAAGTCAAGATAAGTTATCAAAAACTAATATCAGCGAGTTTGGACAACCCATATCTTTGAATGTTGTTAAAAATAAACTTTTTATTACGTTTCGGACTGAATTTGTGACAATGCAAACCTTTCTTTCTGCGATAGAGCACAAGTCAGGTAGAATTTTTTAGAAAATTGACGAAAGTGTTTTCTGTTTGGTATATCGACACTACAGATCAAGTTAATGGGTGAGAAAGGGAAAAGTGATATCTGTGAAATATCTAATAAGTGTATGAAAATTAATTTGCTAAGTGGTACATATTGTATTACTCGAATAGATCTTTTTCTCATAACTGCTGTCTTTCTACCAACGTTGTTTCCTTTTAGCTCCAAATAGAAGCGCCAGTGAGCCAGGATCAATACGAATCAACGTAGATTATGTCTCCTTAGAACTACTATTTGAAGTTAAAAGGAAATAACGTTCTATCAATTAACTATTACCTTAGTACTATATAGAATTAATACCTATATACGGCTGGCTAGGAACATTCTCGACTTCTATGATTGACTGACTCGTTAATCATTTTCACACTTCTCATTACAGTGTGGCACTGTAGGAATGAGAGACCTACTGAAGAAATCTTTGTTTTCATACGAGTAGATACTTAAACAGCCTTAGTCAATTCGTCATTTTTGTAGTCTTAATTAGAGGTTGTCTGCTAACAGAATGACAATTGCAATTCTGATAGGTTAAATGCATAGTATATCAACCTCGTGATTTTTATATCATTTTCTTAAGGCAGTTTTTTTCTCTTTAATTTCAGATCTCACTGTACCTTATAAGGTTATGCCTGATGTGGTAAGTCAAAAATATACATACATAAGTTAGAATTATGTCTGTATGCGAGTTATTGCAACACTACCAAATTGTGAGATGAAAGTGCATGATTAGCGTAAGATTTTTGTTTTTTTTAAACATCTTTTATTCGCGAAATAATGGTAAAAAAAAATACAACAACCAGAGGAAAACACTTATACGGCAATTCGAAATATCCCATTGTATGCCGGATTCTACATAAACACGCTAGAATAAAATGAGTATATAGAGAAGAGAGGTTATACTAGCGTAAGATTTATTGTGGTTAATCTGAAATGATGGATAGTAAGAATATAATGATTGCTTTGGGTACTTTTTTTGAAAAAAAATTTTCATTTTGAGCTGAACGTAGCATAATGTAGAGGAAAGTCAGAGATATAAGATGAGACCACTCCCAGTTCCTCACGACCTTCTCTGGAAAAGTTATGAAGTGTTTAAATTTTTCCTTCAAAACCCAGAAAATCTCATATTTTAGTTTCGTAAATTTTTCTCGCCTTTTCTACATATTCAATTTTTTTCTGGCACATAAACTGATAGAAGAAAGTCTGCTCTTCAAAGTGAGACGTCTACCAGAATTTTCTGATGAGTTTTCGTGGAGATATAAGCATCACCGCAAATGCTCTGCAAAGCAGTGCTCTGTGTACAATATGTATTTTTCTCACTACGCGTTTTTTCTATAGTCCCTTCAATCGGATCACATTACGATCGAAGCTGAAATCTTTACTAAAGATACTTTAGACTCTATCTCAAGTTCGTCTTTTTAAGCGTTTTCGATTTCAACTTTCGGCGTAAGAAGGTTTTTAAAATAAATAACTGTTTTTTATACAGGATTTTAGTATTTTTCGAATATCTCGAGAAGGAAAGCATATTTTTTAAAAGAGAAAAAGCGAACTTGAGATAGGGTCTAAAGTATCTGTGGTAAAATGAGCTCGATCGGATCATTTTTTCGAGGAGTCGTAATGTGACTGGACGAAAACTAGAGTTTTCCAGAAAACCTATAAAAGAAAATGTCAGAAAATTCTGGAGATCGATTTTCTTTTTCGGCGTTCTATCTCTGGTATAAATTTCACCCCGACCAAACATCAGCTTCCCCAATTTTCAAGAGGGTTAAAAAAGAGAGGAGTGTACCCTTAAATACTTGCAAACCTTTTGTGAAGGACTTGAACAAGATTTCCTACTGTGAGGTTTGCACTTAAATGTATATCAAAATGATCTCTATATTACCAGCAGCTGTCTTTTTCTTTTATTGCTTACACTCCATTTTTATTTATGCTCTAGTCGGCTACAATCGTATGTTGTCGAGATAATGGTAGAAAATTACATTTCAGAGATTTGAGTAGTATTCTCACAGATTTTATTTTCAGCTCATGAAGATGCAATTTGGTCTGATTGTTGGGTACAAAGTTTAAAAGATGGATCAGAACACACTATTAGTGGATAGATCGATGATGAGGTCAAAATTTGGTCGTGGTAAATCTCTTTTGATTGTTACTGTTATCTTTCTTGAATGCTGGTCAATCCTCCGGACATTTCTTATCCTAGGACCCTTCAGTTCTTGAATAGGTAGGGACTCTGCTCATCATTCATATTCTTAATATAATTGTACTATGGTCTTTTCTAGCTATTGCAACGTGTGCGTTGGATGCAAAAATCAAATTATGGGGTGGATATTGAAAGTAGAAACCTGATATGAGGTATCGATGCAGCACCAGTTACGTTTTTTGTGTAATACCTCTCCTGAATAAAAGTAGGAACAAGGAATAAAAGTTTGTAAAGGGAGAAACTGCTGAAAATCTGATGATTTTAACTACCTCATGTCTCCCTCCTCCCTAACACTTGCTAACATACGCGAACCCAAGGATAATACTGAATGTACATTGTATACGCAGACTAGCTACTTAGGACATAGATTCCATCTAGTCCCACCTTAACCCATCACGTTTGAACGGAGGAGTTACACTTCGGGTCCAAGATCTGCGCTGATGAGATCCCGAAAGATGCGCACGGGTAAGTTACACACGAAACAAGAAAAAAATATTATGAAATTCAAGAATTTGATACACAGCACATTATCTAACATTTTGTTTATGCTTCAAAAGATATTTATTCAAAAATATTGTTTACATTCAACTCTACGGAAGGTGGAAAAGTTAATTGCAAAAGAAGATTCACAAATTCATACAAAAATAGCACGTATGAATGCTGATGAAAACGTTTCAAATATGTACTTTACTCTATCAATACTATTAAAATCTAATATCTTGAAAAATTACTTTAAAAAAAGGATCGACAGCCTTCTTCTATACACTCGACCAAAATCTAATTAATTAATTTAGTTGTTATCATTAGTTATGGACTGTAATGACGAGATTGATTTGAATACGCAGGCCCCATATAATCGAGATACAATTTTGATTAAGCATTTGAAAAACATCCATATTTTTTTTCAGATAAAAACGATGTGGTTAAGTACACAAATTTCTGTATTATACTTGAATTTGTTTTAGATATATTTAGAAAAGTTCTCGGTACTTCTGTGCATGACAAAGAGGCTAGAACTATCAAATACGAATTTTTGAACGAAGGAATTATTATTAATGAAAATTTTTTTTAATTGATTGTACTTGAGACACGATGATGGATACTATCATAGCATATCTTCTACATTATAACTATCCTTCCGTTATTCTTCCAAGTCTTTTATTAGCCGTTATGTAATCTAATCTGATGAGATCTGTATATGTATAAGAATAAACGAGTGTTGTCAACATATAAATTAGTTATATATCACGAAAATGATACAACGAAAAGAGTACACATACACACGCTGATGATGTACAGATTGTGTTCATAATTGATGGGGATGATTGAGTTAATATTACAGCGTTTTAACGCGCTGTAATACTTCATCCACAAACTCCTAAAAAGAAACAAGATAAGTATATCTGATATATCATATCATTCAGAATACGCACCATCACTTTTGCTTTTGGCTGTTTAGCGTTTTTCAATTTATCCTGTTTATATAAAACAATATAGAAATTATTTTTTCAATAACAGATAGTACAATGATTAGAATTTATTTACCAGTAAAAAGAATCTTCTATTTTGATCATTATCAATATCTAATAGATTATCGATTAAGTCACCTGGACAATGATTATGATCATCACATGTTGAATCATCCTATGATAAGTCAAATAAAATAATTTCTTGAGGAAATTACTCAATAAGATATAAATATAAGAAAATGTTCCCGTTATTTTCCCACTCAAAATGTATTCTGATCGATTCTAATAATCTCAATTCTAACAACGATTCTATGAAAATCGTTTTTTTTTTTTATCAGTTTATACCTATCCTTATATATCAAATAATCTTTGACTGTAGAATATGTAGCAAACGGAGAACTCATTACCTACTTTGATATCATATAAATATCTTAGTTGATCATCGACCCAAAATTCTACTTTTAATCGTTTTCGAATCAATTGCATTTGTTGTTGAGGATATTTACTATAAAATGGAAAAAAATAAAAAGTCTTATCATTCTATAGTTGCTGTTAAAATAATATATTCATTTACGCTGTTAAATATTTTTCACGGTCATTATATTTTTGTGGTCCAGCTATTTCAATAAATCTTACTGATCCCGTAGACGTTGATGTACGATGATTATTCGATGTATTTTGAACGGATGGTGTCTTTGAACAAGATTGTTGCGGTGATTGAGACGACGGTAATATAGATGGACGAACTGAAGTTGATGGTTGAGGAGGTGATTGTGTCGAGTGTACATAAGTATGTGAATCGCGAAATGTTCGTTTAATAAAATTCATGCTTGTGATAGAAAAATAAAAAAAATATTACGTAATTATTCTCATTTAATTATTTTCATCTGAAAACATATAAAATAGATTCCTACTATTAGTTTACTATTAGTAATTTAGTCTATTAGACTAAATTGAAAATGAGTAGAAAAATCTTAAAAGTTTTAATACAGATCAAAGAGCCAAAAGTCTGCTCGGCTTTGGAAACTGAATATTTTTTTAAAGATTTGAGAAATGACTTTTTTAAATTAATAAAATATACTAAAAATAAAAAAAGTAGCCATGACCAAATTAGGACGAGTTACTCTAAAACGGAACACATAACACGAGCATAGTCAATGATGATAATTATTTATATAAACTAGAATGCAATTTTGCTCTGTACAAGTTGTAAATATATTGCACAAATAATATAAAATATTAAATCTTCTATATGCCTCTCGTCTTAAGCATCTGCTGCACATTTTAGAGACAATGAAACGATGATTCGCAAAGAGACACATTCTAAACAGTAGTGTATAAGAAGCGACATTGAATATATGCATATGAAACTGCTATGTGTAAACATTGTGCATTAGATAATAACTAATAGAGATTGACATCCTAGGTATGCACAGAGCGGATACGTTGTTACTCTGTAATTTTTAATCTATTTAATAGTTTATTAATTATTTTTTATCATTATGAGATGACGTCAGTAAATTGGTGTTGATAAGCTGAAATCAACCTGATTCTGCTCATAAAGAGCGACATTATATACTGATGTATTACTCTGAAGAAAGCCCTAGACTAATGGCTTAATTAATTATTTGTTCTGTTTAATGTATCTTGAATAATTAATGTTACTAATTCATTCCAGATTATTCATGATATGTATTCAGATCATTAGATATTACACAATGCCCCTCATCATCTTTAACATTATTCTCTTCTACAAAATGATAAAATCTTTAATGTTCATAATTTTTGAGACTGTTGGTTCATGGCTAATTTTATTTTTAAAAGTTCAGTCGATTTCCATTAAATCAATTTCATCCTGTATCACATCTTTAAAGCCTCATAGATTTCGAGGGGGGAGTAAGAAATATAGCTAGTATGTAAATGTAGAGTTTTGATAGTTTAAGTTTCAGAATGATATAATGGGAATTTATATTCTCGATTTCGTTCTGGTTCAAGATTATAGGCTTAAATCAAATGTAGCTACTTGAAAGGATGCGTTACTCTAGTGAATGTACTTAAGTGTGAGTACTCAAAGTCGTACTCTGCTGAAAAATGTCCCTAGTACTTATGAGTATTTATACATTTTTTTACTCATTGAGTACTCACATAAGTACTCATCAGTGAGTAATGAGTACTGTGGGTACGATTTTGAGTACTCATGCTTGGGTATTGTTGAGTACTCATATAACTTTTGGCAAAATACTCATGAGTATTGTTCATCTGATATTTTCATATAGAGGAGTGATCTCAGGCAGCCAGAATAGGACTACAAGTCTAGTCATAGACACGTCCATCTCTGACTATACTACAGAGAGACCAGTGAGGAAATAATAATATAAATATTTTATGTTTCTTCACTAAATTCTACATTCTTTATACAGTTTCAGTTTAGCAAAATAAAATGGTGAATGATTATTTTCTCAGTACTCACATGACTAATACTACTCAAAAATTGTTAGTAAAACTAATATGAGTACTCATGGACGAATTATGAGTAAAGTCGTACTTATCGCTTGGGTACTTTCACTAGGGTGGCTTACACACCACATTCATAACAATAACAAAAATAATTGATTGAATAAAACCTATTAACAGAACGTTTCTGATAGTTGTTTTTCGTAGCAGAACACACATGACAGGGAAAGAGTGAATTAAATAAATAAAACTCCAATTAAATTACCTAGTCACTAAAACAAAGTTCTTATGTATTAATAATTATGAAAGATTGATAATGACTATGAATAACGTCCGATATATATTGTTCAGAAAAGTAAATAATAATAGTAGATGATGGTTCAAGTTACAAAAATGGTTCAGCTTGTACTGTATGTAAACAAAACAAAACTGTAGACAATGGGCGTTTGTGTGTGTATCTTCCCTTCCTCCAATATACAGACACAAATCTATAACATAACGCACGTACAAACGATACAAAGAAAGAGAAAAAGTGGTTAAATAGATATGGTTTCAACTTCTTTTTTGTATATGCAAACGTTATACAAACAAATCAAACTGTTCATTTTCTCTTTTCCTACGTACATCTGTGTGAATTTCTTACACACAGATGCATACGTGTGAAATGAAGTAAATTTTTCTTTTCTTTAATTTTTTTTTTAATAACTCTCTTCAAATCATAAACTAACAAAAAGATTGAATCGTTCAATTTGTCATTTCTAGACTACTACTTCACCTTGACTTGTTAAGATTTTGACGATACATTTTTTAATTTAAGAATATATATTTTCTTAACATAAAGATATCTCATAATGAAAAAGCATCTATAATTAGAGTATATAATACTTTTTGTTAGAAAATTTATTAGGATTCTATAAAATAGATAGATACAACAATTAATTAAGTATTATAAAAAGTAAAATTTTTCTCGTAGACGGTTTTTTCATCACTTCATTATGTTTGGTTACAAAAAACTATATATATATATATCAGATTTATTTGCAATACTAACACTTACCAACGATTTCTTTAATTTGAAAAATACTTTTATTTAACATAACTATTTGTATATACACAAAAAACTTTTATAATTATTTTGTGTAATGTTTATTCTAGAGAAAAATATTTTGAAACTTTTTTCTAATACGTTTTTGAACATTCTTTGAATTTTTTTCTTAGTAAATACCTTCAGGTTCATATTCTAGATACAGAGAGAGAAACAAAGAAACGAAAGGATTTTTTTTTTTTGTTATTGATTTTACACAACTTAAATGTATTATGTATATTTATTATTTTATTTGAAAAAGAAAATTCATCATCGAAAAGCGGGAGTAATCTGTTAAAAATAGTACAAATATGTAAACCATGTAGAAAATATTGTTGTTGTTTTTTTTCTAAAGTTGAGAATATTTACACGTATATGATATATAGTCGTGCTGTGCAACCTAAAATGGATTCGCTTACTATATTACTAATAATAGTGTGAAGTTTTATGATGAACTTTTCACAAATCGTAAAAAATGTCTTTTGAAAAAAAACAAAATAATTACTTTTCAAGAATTTAGTTAATGAATTTCTCAAAGGTAACTAACTGTATTGACTATCAATGTCGAGTGTGCAAGTGCCTATGTCGAGGTTTATCTCGACACTTGAAACAAATACAAGACAATTCTAATTTCTAAACTTATGAGATGACCGTTCAGATGATTTAAACAAATTTCAATAAAACATAAATAGACAGGACTTATTTTTTTATGCTGATTACGAATCTGAATCTTTATTTGTAATCATAGATAAGATTTTGAGAACCTGTTTTCGAAGATCGGATTTCTAATAATTCATCATATACTTTCTACAATACTGGAAAAACGAATCGTCTTTTTCTGCTAAGAACTTTAACTTTAAACTTCACTTTAACTTAAAGAGTTTTAACTTCTTTTACTCTTCACTAAATTTTCTACATGGATGAGTCGATATGCTCTACAAACTGATTGTATTTAAATGTTTTAAATGGAAAGTATATGATGAATTACCAGATATCCAACCTCCGAAGACCGATTCTCAAAATCTCAGTACAGATTCAGATTCGTAATCAACACAAAAATAATTCATGAGGATCCGTGTTTTTATTGAAATTTGTTTAGATTATTTAAAAGGTCGTCTCATCACCTTTTCCGAAAAGAGATTTTTGCCTGAGTTGTATTCTACTTCAATAACTTCTTTTTCCATGAGAATAATTCGTGTTTCGTGCAAGTAATTGTTAGATCAACAAAGGATTTTATATTAGATAAAGTCCGAATAATAAAAATGTATAATTCATATTATTTTCTCCTTACTTCTAGAAGTAATTCGAGTTTAATACAGCCCTGCGGTATATATCGTGAAAAGAAGTCGTACGGTCATTCAATTTTTAAATAACTCAATACAATATAATTAATAGTTGATATCTTTGATTTGATGTTTAAAAATAAAACGGTGTTGCTAATTCTTCATTTTATTATTATAATTAATAGTTTGCCATTTTATTCAAAACATCATACACGAGTCTTATAGCTCTTGATAATACTCACAATTCTAACAATGTACTTTGACAAAGAGATTGATTTATTATTACTTGCAGGTATACAATACTGTAGCTCCCTGTGACTCAAAAATCATGATGGCTACGAACATCTAATTTTATATGATCATAACTTTCATTGATCATCTGACCAGTCTGGACCTCTTTTACAGGACAGTTCGTGAAATATAATCGTTTCATTTTTTTTCCTAAAATGTTAATAACTCAAACTCACATCAAATACCCATCGGTGACTGTAAACTATCCAGTGATATATGACAGTTAACTGTGGTATGATTTTGGAAATTTATTAAAAACGAGCACCCACTGTTGAAACATACGTAGAGGAGCGAGAGCGAACAACTAAGAGTCGCTCTTTCGATTGTAGAATCTGCATTCAATGTACATCATAATCAAGAAAAAATTTGATCTTGGAAACCTATGAGAAGGAAAAACGCAGGAAGAACATACGCACTTTTCATCTTTGCCATTTCACTTCAATTGTGTCCTTTTCATTTCTCATAAATTTCCAAGGAAAATTAATGACGTATTTGAGATCTGCAGACGAAACTGGATTGAATGACATATTTGAAATTAATTTTTCGAACAAAAGATTTTAATTGAAAATTTCCTCTCTTGGTGAAAAGTGAGCGTGATATAGAGATGGGCAATCCGACGGATACCCTACGTAATGGATGGGTATCGGGTAGAAGGTTGTTGGGTGCAGGTATGCTACAAGCGGAGTTTTGAAAATCGGGTCAGGTACCGAAAGCTGTAGCCCTACACATCTCTAGCGTAAGAACAAGTGAAAATAGAAAAAGGTTTTATTTCACTTGAATCAAGAGTTATCAGTATTTTACGAAAATAAAATAAAATGATTACATTTCACGAACCTTATCCTGCAAAAGAGGTCTACACTAGTTGGATAATCAGCATCTAGTGAGAACTATGGCGACATAAAATTAGGAGTTCGTAGTCATCATGGTTTTTGACTTACAGGGATGTTACTACTTTTTCAGAGTACTGTAGTTATCAGATATTCATGCACTTGTTGATAAATGATAGTCAATGATGATCGTCAACTTTCAAAATCGAGTTTAGTTATAAATATGCAAAATGCATTAATATTGTATTTTTTCGTATTGTGACATGTACAATTTAAAATTAATTCATCTATAAAATAATATTTTGCACGCATGTATTATGTATATATCGGAGCCATTTACGTTTGATTTTTTTGTTCTTACAAAGAACATAATAAAGACGCCAATGGAAATGTCTACCCATGTTGTCGAAACCGGACGAAAACCGACGATTAACCACGATTATCTTAAGAACCGACGGTTAACCGCGGTTATTTCAGCTGAAACCATAGCAACACAGCAGAAAAACCGATGGCGAATCTCATAATTAACCGGAAAAACGACCGGCTAACCGACCATTTTTCCGGTTAATTGTGAGATTAACCGTCGGTTTTCGTCCGATTTCGACAACGTGATCAAGCGTCGTAGGCGTGTTTCTGTTATATAGCGATTGAACTTGAACGGTGATAAGAACCTTAAATTTTACTTGTTTTAATGATTTTTTTCCAATTCCAAAAGAATGTTTTGGACTATTTGTTACTTGTTATGGGGTGAAAAACAACGCTAAAATTGAAATGACATCCAACTAGGAAAAAATACTTTTTTTGCTTATAAATCTATATTTTAAAATATGTCTAAGATGTATGAAGTGCTTATTTCACTGAATATAGACCTGGTTCCACGCAGTTCTGTCCAATATTACACAATCTAAAAGCCAAAAGATTTGCCTATGTAATAACACCGAAAACGTGTAAAATCCCCCATTTGCTTATCTATTAAAGTCATATGGAACGTAACTGTCTCCTGGAATGCATGTTGTGAATATTAACGGTTTTGATTATTTATTCCACCTTAAGATATTTTTATCCTGAATGGTGCTTAAATAAATAACAGTCTCTCTCTATTTTTCTAGCTAGTTGCGCTTTATTTTCAAAAGATACTTAACATCGAAACAAGACAAGCATCCGTGGATTATAATCAAACAGAAAAATCAAAATAAATTTTTCAGGTATATACAAACTTGTTGAATACATAGAAATAAAGATAAATAACTTCTTTTCTATAACAAAAAACAACAGTGACATAATCGAGAAAAATCAGAATAACGCAAAACACAGCAAATCAAACAAAATATAATACACAAACGAAGAATGATATTATACCGTCATATACTTTAATATACTGTAAAAGAAAATAATGACTTTTTTCTAAATTTTATTTGAAGCATTCAGTATAGCGCAGAGTAAGGAACGCGTAACCTCTTTGTGTTATAACAGTCTTATTATGAGCACGTACGTTTGAATTGTAATGCCTTTGAGTTCTATCTCAAAGGGCGATTTTATCTTTTTGTGACCAGAGACTCTTGTTTTAAGCTGCGCTCGAAACTTTTGTTAATATTCGGTATTTTTCGCAACTTAACGATTTTATGAAATTCTAGACCCTTCTTAGAATCATGTATAATATAGCCCAAAATAAAATAGTGCTTAAACTTCGAATTTGGTGCGCCTTACATGTTCATCACTTATAACATTATCCTAAAATGAGAAAGAAAAATGAATAAGGGAAGAGATAGCAATAAACAACAAATGAGGAAGAATGAAAATTATGAAAAAAAACCGGTAAAAATGTTGAATGATACTGTTTTTGTTTTTGAGTGCGGCAAGTGGATTGCTAACTGCTTACAAAATGTTTTTCCTGTAGGATATAGAACTACACAGTTAGAAAGAATGTTTCATACCTTTACTGTTCGTACCAAAAAGGAGCTGGCTAATACGTCTGCTTTTTTTCATTGCTAATATCTGTGCTGTTTGTAAAGCAAAACATCGCGCAAGAATACTTTGACTTATTAAAGCCAGTTTTGTTTACATGCTGCAATCTTTATGTCAAATCCATGCTAGATTGATTCATATAAGATAAAATTGCTCTCAAACTAGAGCATAATACTAGTAATACGATGGACACGATTAATTGATCCTTTCGAATCGCCGACCAGTATTGTCTCAGTCGCTTATGATAATGCGGAATATTTCAGAATAAATATCGCGATGCGAGGTATTACGCAAATTTGTTCAGTATAGATTCATTGTTTCTCTCAATGTCGTGAAGCAATGTGGGAATAACAAACCTTAATTTTTGAACAATATTCCATCCACTATATTCTCATTTTCTGCCATTTTACATCGCATTCATTTTTTACAGTGAAAAATGCGAATAAGAAACATGAACAATTATAAAAAATCACCTTGAGAGAAAGAAAGAAAGAGAGAGACAGAAACAGAGTGTTGAATAAAAATATGTTTCAGCATGCTTGTGGAACAAAACTGATGTATATCTACGAGTAATGAATGATTATTAATACATAATATAATTTACTTAAGTATTTGAAGAAATCGATTCATCTTGATAGAAAAAGAAATATGATAGAGCAAAAAAATAATCTTTAAAAAATAAACATATCGCCAAGAGGCAGGTACTAATAATGATACCAATTCTGAGATATGGATAAAAGCTAAATATGCGTTCAGAGCTTTCACTGTTGTTTTGGTGTCGAAAGACAACATGTCTCTTCAAGAACGGTAAATTCATGAAAACAACATACCAGTTACAAAAAATTGAGAAGCAACAACAAAAAATCTCTCTGCATATGTACAGCTTATATAAGTGTTAGACATGAACAAAACCTAAAAAATACCTGGTTAAACAACCTTCAATTTTCTAATATGGTCGTACATATGTCCGATGTCTCGTGCCAACAACATTGATATTTTGAATATCTATGCTATCTGTAACTGTATATGAAGCGGAATTACAATGAAAATTAACTGGAATGCTAATTGGATGACATAATAAGCTTTCATCATTAGTATGGCAATCCTTGCCGGATCGAATATGAGAAAATGGATTATGGAGATCTTTTTGTTCAAATGCATGAGCAACTAATGAAGTATCAATAGCCATTGGAATATAATAAGTACCTGAAGGATGTAAAACAAATGCCGGTGCTGAGGACGAGGGATTTCCAGTGTAATTCTCTGATTCATTATCTCTTGAGTTAGATTTCAAGGAGCCTGATGACTGATGCGATTGAATATTCAAATCATTTTGAGTATTTTGTGATCGTGTATTACTATTATATTCATTATTTGTTTCGTTCGCGCCTGATGAATCTTCATTCATATTTATTAATATATCCATATCCGATTTACTTATTCGACTATTATCTTCTCTGGTTATATCAATAACTTCTGGATTACGACTTCTTTTTCTTCCCTCATTAGTCACCGTCATTGTTGTTGTTGTTGTTGTTGTTGTTGTTGTTTCATTTAATGATTCCACTGAATTAGATCGTCGTTTCCTACGTAAAAATTGATCGATGGAAGCTGTTTCAGATCGCGGTAAATTAGATGATACGACTGTAAAGAAACCAGAAATAGAAACTTATCACGTGATCTTGATTCTCGTTATATATAAGAAAAAATAGTTACGTTTAGAAATATTTTCATCATATTTGCTCAGTAAATGTTCTTCCAATTTTTTCTCCTCGTTTTGATCAAGTTTTGTTGAAAAATAATTCAATGTTTCCTGGATACTATGTTGATAAGCATCACGATAAATGTCGGCATGGATTGTATTAGTTTTACAATCATCGTTATCCGTATTTACAGTTAGTTGACCTTGATCTTTATCATTACTATCACAACTATTAACAACCAGACTTTTATCATCAACTACTTCTAGAAAAAATAGAATAAAAAGATCTTCATCGTAAATTTAACAAACGAAAAAACAGATATACCTTTTTGATCGCTGACGCGCTCGCTTAACATTCTGATATATTTCATGGCCATTTCAATCACTTCAGCCTTTTCAATACGACGTTGACCCTAAAACAGAATTTAGATGATTCTGTTTGCCATCTTTCAGCTGTATGAGACGACCAAAACATACGATAATCACTTTACCTGTGATTTTCCTTGTGGTGGTATCAATTTGACTAACTCTGCCAAACAATTGTTCATTCGATCACGACGTCGTTTTTCAATAATGCGATGCGATTGAGGATTCTGAAACAAGATAAAAATATTTCGTTTCTTTCAACACGTATCTTTCTACTAACGCGAATCGGTTTTCGCTTTTCATTTGTATCGTTGTCGGTCGTTGTAAAATTTAAAACTCTAAAACAACACATAATTTCAATTAAAATATTGAAACACACACAAGAAAAATAAGAAAATAGACGATGTTGAACTAAAAAGAGTTTACCCAATTACCTGCTATCTTTAGTAAATGTCTGGTCGTCGTCAGACTGATTTGATGCAGTATCATCAGTCATAGATGGTGTTTCTTTTGTCATGTTTTTTAAAATAATTTTGCCAACCAAACTAATTTTCTTTTTTATTTGTTATTTTTTCATTAACAGATAGTTTCAGTGTCGAATAGGTATACAAAATTCAGATTAGAACTAAAATTAAACAAAAATATATGCAAAAAAACAGTCACAACAATAGAAAATACCATCTTATGGCATCAGACTGAATCTGACTATGACTAGTATATGCTTTTCAAATTCATTCCTTTTCTCTACTAGATGTGACAACGAAATTTCGAACTTATTAAAATTTCTTTCTGAACTATTAGTTCATTACCGAATAAAAACTGCATTATTACAAAAATATTCAAACAGAATGTGTGTGTCTATTGAGATCATATTCGACAGTATTTATTTATTTATTTTATTTTACGTTTATGAGATATTGAGAAGTAGTTTCATCTTGAGGGATGACCTTCTTGAAAATAACAATTATCTTTAAAACTTCGATTTTAAAATTTCATTAACAAAGTAGTCTGGAAAATTATTCTTAATAGAAATCAACTGTGGACAATCATCTGCTTCGAGAGCAATGAGCTTTCAGCACAAGTATCAACAACGTTCTAACTAATCTTTAGTCAAATATCCACTTAACAAGTGAAGCGTTCCTACTGCGCAACGGTGGTACTATTTTCTCGAAAACACTTTCAAGCATCTTAATATCGTTTTTGTTTGAAAGATCGAGTTAAGACGTACAAAATGATTCAAGTAGATTTTGAAGATTAGCTTTGAACTTCATATAAACCTCCAGCTTTCGACTTCAATTGGGCACATCCAAATCTACATTTTTCGAGTTTTTAACAATAGGGAAATGTTAATAGAACTATGCAGATAAACGGAATATGAATGCTCTTGAAATTTTTTGCCCAAGCGACAGTCTCAATAAGAATAGTTTTATGACATACATCTTGCGTTCTTCAACAGATTCTCTCTCTCATCACGCACTTTTCGTCCCGCTTATTGTTTACGTTGATATTTTTCCTGTGTAACTTTTGCACCAAGTAACTTGTTTTATTCTGTTTTGGTTACTCAGGTGTTGCATATTAAAAAAAGGATGTGAGTCAGGTCAAATGAAATTTTTTGCGAGACATATTATTATTTTTTTTACTACCTTATAAAATGAACTCGAAAAACTGTAGTGTCTACAGTTCAAAAAAAATGTTTTCGCGTACCAATTTCAATAGATGCTGCCATAAAGATATAAAAAGGAGAGTAAATCTTAATTTTTTTTCTAGAGAACAGCTTATCGTCATCATAACCCTAAGAATTAGAATTTTTCTTTAACTTCAGTGACAATATTCAAAAAAAATTTTGCGTTGTCAGAAAAAAATTTCTTTTCTTGCGATTCATTCTGCTCTTCGTGATGCACGTGTTCTTAGGAAGAATTATTAAATAAAAGACGTTTGAAAATATTGACATTGATATACTCAAAAATAAAGAAAAGAAAAGAAACAAGAAAAATTGTTTCTGAATTTAACAAAAATTGGCAAGTCAGGGAGTTTACACATCTCAAGTCAAATCAACAATCACTTGCCCAGCTTTGATATGAAGAAAACGATGAACTTCGTTGTTCTTTTTGCGTATATCGCGATTTTTAACATCTAACTCTTGCGAACTATATATCTTTCATACCATTATTATTTGTGAGTAATGACGAAACGAATTTTTTGAAGAGAAGTATATTACAGTACCTTCGTAATATTCTTTTTCTTAAGATGTGTGTGACTTTCACAAGTAGTTCGCATGGTTTCAATCAACCTTGTGACTAATTTTATTAAAATTATCGTTTGTTGATTGTCAAGTATTTAAACAAATGAGAATCAAAGGAAAAAGGAACTGTTTGAAATGGCGATACTTTAGGAACATACATTGGCACGTATAGAGTATAAAATAATTCAAACTTACTCGATTGGAATAATTCTGCCTATGATTATACCGTTTACATTAAAATAAAAGTTCTTCTTGTTATTCGAAACCAAGATATTCATGTAGCATGAATGTAAGACATATTGTCGTGTCACGCGCAAGTATATCGTTATATATGCAGAAAAGAGTGACGTGCGTACTGTCAACGAAGAAAGAAGAAACGACAGTTAATAGAGGATGAATAAAAAAATTGGGCTGAAGCCATACATATTTGCCCATATCTATTATTCTCTTTCTCAAACATAAGGGGTTCATACGAGTGCGTCCAAATCAAATATGGAGAGAAAGAGAACCAAACAACAGAAAATAAACTAAAGGATACAATAATGGCACAAGGTCATCATGACCGTGCAGGTAGTCTATATAAATAACAGACATTTTCATGATTGACAAATACACGTCCTCGTTACAGCTAGTATAGAATCCCAGAATATTACAATCGTCCAATAAATACCTTTTTTGGGATGATTAATTCAGGAAAGAGGGCGACACCGGAGAGCATTTTTTTATGTACGATGGCTACTCTGCTGAGTGTAATTGAGATCAAGTACTTTACTTCTTGGAAATTTTCTAAAGTGCTTGGTTAAGCACTTGTCAAGCATTTTTAGATTTAATACGTGCCAAATAGCTGGAAGAACTTCGGATACTTGCATGTATTTCGCAAGTACTTACCAGGTTACCTGCCAAATACTTCATGAAGTGCTTATCTAGTACTTGTACTTTTGAAATTACTTGATAAGTACATTTTTTACCTGCAAAAAAACTCCAGGTACTCTGGACACTACTTACCCAAGTACTTTCCTAAGTACTTGGTCTCAACTATATTCACTAGGGTATCCCACTCGAAAGTTGCAAAACACAAGTGGAAAGATTTATCAGCTCTTTTACTAAGAAAGCTATTTCTGAAATGTCCATTCAAATGACAGAAAAGTTTAATATCATACAGGTTGATATTTTTGTAGATTACGCAGGGATTCTCAGGTAGATAATTTGGATTGTTGAAGAGTGATAGGTGTTGGAAGTTTATTGTCTTAGAAATTTTATTTAATAGAACATCAGCTCTTTTTTGCTTCGAACATCTTATTCTGGTTTACTTTACTATTCTGCCTGTTCTTAGATTAACGGGAGTAGTTAGAACTATGATTAAAGCGATTTATTATTCGATCTTAGTCAAGTGCTTTGTACGATAAAATGAAAGTGCCACAAAAATTTGTATCTTCAGCTCTATTGTTGACATATATTCCCAGTATCAACTATATTTGAATATAAACAATTTTTTGAAATTAAAATTATTCAAATACTGAACAAAATCTTCGCATTTACTCGTATTTCATGACTTCGACCTCAAGTATGTACGAGTTTTCATTTTTTCTGGTGAGATAGAATACAAACAACTGTATCGATCTACCTAATCTAGAAGTCGGTTGAAGGTAGTTGGAGGTAGCAGTAGAGTTAACAACAGAGTAAAGTATATCATTTATTAAAAAGTGGTCGCAAAATAAGTGAAATGGCGAAGGTCAGAGGTGAGTGTGTAATCTTTCTGACAAAAGTTTCTCATACGCTTTTCGGAATCATAGGTTTCTATGATTATTTTTTCATGATTATGATGTACATTGCATGCAGATTCTATAGTATAAAGAGCGACCCTTAGTTCGCCACCCTCTCTCTTCTACTTATGTTTCAATCGTGGGTGGTCGTTCTCAATGATTTTTCAGAAGCACACAATAGTTAATCTTCATACTTTGGCTAGATAATCTACAGACGCTGTAGAGCCTTTGATGCGAATTTGAAGTCAAAATGATGCTCCTAGACTGAGTTGTGACTTTTTTTCGAAAAGGAGCTCGAAGTTTCAACAAAAAACCGCGAACCTCGCCCGTAAAATAGCTGTATTTCACAAACTACTAACTGCCAACTCACGAAATTCATATCGTAGATAGAGTAGAGTCATGGCTACATTTTGGTAAAAAGAAAAAGTTTTGATCTTTCTTAGATGAGGAGCTATTGATATTTTACGGAAAAGAAATAAATCACTTATACCTCACGAACCATCGAGTAAAAGAGACCCACACTTGGTGGATGATCAGCATTTGGTAAGAACTATGATCACACAAAATTAAAAGTCACTAGCTGTTGTGATTCTTAAGTTACAGCAGTGTTGCGACATTTGCCTATATATGGGCTTCCCGTCGCCAAAGGGTTAATGTTTCTGATATAATGATAGTCGTGATTAACGTACCTGAAAGCATATTAACTATGACGTCTTGAATAAAAATGAGAAAAAAAACCTTGAGAACATCGCTGGTGCAAAAAACATAAAAATATTGAATTTTTAAGATGCTAAGGTATGACATATGTTCCTTGTATCACTCTCTGATCGAAAAAAACAAATGTGTAGTAGTGAGAAAAACAATCCTTATGGTAACTAATTCTTTGAATAACCTGTTTCACTCATTTTAATAAATTTAGTTTTAGTTTTACAACCGCTTTTTTGTTACAGAAAAACTCAAGCGTTGGAAACTTGAACTGGCTCTTATTATCAGTTTCTTTCTTTAACCTTTTAAACTATACACTTTTAAGAAATAAAACATATCAGACTGCATTAGTTGTTCTTAAATCACTACTAGAAATATTCTTTAGCAAATTAACGATTTTTCAGTTTATAGTAAAACCATTTTCCATTTTCTAAATTACTGATATTTTAGAAGATCAAATGCATTTTATATAAAGTAGAAAATTGTCAACTATAAGTAGAAAGATTTTATCAAATTTAGAAAATGTTTCGCGATCTTACAATGAATTTTCCATAAATTTTTCCAAATGTTTTGTATTAATATTCGATTCGATAATGGTCTTACATTCTACAGTAAAAACATTACATTTGCATTAAAAACACGCTCTCTGAATAACGCAAAACTTTTGTCACATTCGGTATAATCATTTCTTTTTCTCTTGCACTGGCAACCTTTATAATATTGCTCATTCCTTTTAAGATTCCTTTTTTTTCATCCACATTTATTTTTCACAATTTTTTTATTCGTCGACAACGACGGACGTCTAAAACGTTTATTCAAACGTGAATCTACGTCGTTCTTGCGTGTATGACTGCATTCTTTCTCTTTTCTGTTCTGCCTATTATATACTTCGCCATGTACTTGCTTTACGAACAAGTAATCCTCATCTGCTAATTTCAGGTGAAATAATGCTTGTTTTAAATAAATTGCACTCCATTCTAAGAACTCTTTCAAAGAATTTAACTACAGTAGTTGTATATTAAATGATGTGTTGTGTGGCTGAAAAAAGTGCTTATTTTGTAAATCTTTTTGCTTTTATAATAATGCAAAATCATTGGATGATAGAAGGACCAAATGGAACTTCATTTTGTTTTGGTTTCTCCTGATCTGTGTTATAGCTATAGTTACTGAGATATTCACCACATCATTAAAATACCCTCCAACGTGCAGAAGAGAAGTGGTGAATCCACGATATTTCTATGAGAAAGCAATTCTAAAGAAATGTCGGTCAGGCGTAGTATGAAATGAGTTAACAAATACTATTCTTCGTTCGCCACTTTTAACGAAGTATCAATGAGTCATTGCGACTAGTGATCAACGCATATAATAAAAACTCTTTCCTGTACATTTCGCTCGAAAACATAGTTCGACCTTCACTCGACTTAGATGTTCAGTATATTTCTTTTACAGTCGATAGTTGTGCTTTGAAAAGTGTTCGAAAAACTTGTAATTAAATTTCAAGTCTCTCTTTAAACGTTCAGCCTATAATCAGTATTAAAAGATATACGCAGAATATTTAAATGATGGTGGCAGGACTTGCAGAATAAATGTATTCATATTTTTGTAGCTAATGTCTTTGATACTGAAATTTATTTCACTAGAGCTATCGAATCGACAGATTCATCTTCAGTGAAAAAAAACTTGTACATGTATGAAGAAAAAAATTTCTCTACAGTTAGATATATATATATGGAACCTGCTGGAAAGGTCATGATGGGCTTCAGTCCATCATGCCCTTTCCAGTCATGAAGATGAATCTGTTGATTTGAAAGCTCTGGTTGAAATAAATTTCAGCATCAAAATACATTAGCTGCAAAAATATGTCGTTGTCAACTAATGATACACAGAGACAGAAAAATATAATGGAAGAGATATTGTTTCTCTAATAATATCTATCATAATATAAAAATTCAATTGGCATGGATATTCCAAAATGGAAACCAGTTAAGTTAATCCGTGAATTTTACTTTCAGCTTTCATTTTTTATTTAGTGTTAATAGTACCACACTGAGAAAGACATCCATATAGGATTCTATCTCGGCACTTCTCAGATGTGAGAGAAATGCATCAAGTCGAAAACGGAACAAGTTCACTTTATGGGGAACTTAAGGAATCCAGGTTTTGACTATTCCATCGTAAAGAGCATCACTTAAAACCTATAAATTGACAAAAGAAACTTGGCGGCAAACACACGAAACTCAAAAAAATTCAATTTACTCTCATTAGTGCCTAAGGGGAACCAAAGGCACAAATTTTGGACAAAATTTTTTTCTGCTAAATATACATCATTGAACTCAGTTTCGTACGTAGATTACGAATATAGTATTGGTTTTGAATGGAAATTCTAAAAACTTCGCTCGATTCCTGAGAGGAACCAAGGCAAGAAGTTATGACGAAAAAACGTTTTTTCAGAAAATCACATCATTCGGTTTGGCTTTGTACGTAGATTATGAATATCATATTTATTTTTAATACAAACTTTGTATGGTTGCGGAAATGAGGGGGGGAAGAAAGTGAGGGTGAGTGGAGGAAGGTTTTTCAATTAAAAGTAGCTGCTTACAAAACGTTATTAAAAATAAATATGATATTTATAATCTACGTACAAAGCCAAACCGAATGATGTGATTTTCTGAAAAAACGTTTTTTCGTCATAACTTCTTGCCTTGGTTCCTCTCAGGAATCGAGCGAAGTTTTTAGAATTTCCATTCAAAACCAATACTATATTCGTAATCTACGTACGAAACTGAGTTCAATGATGTATATTTAGCAGAAAAAAAATTTGTCCAAAATTTGTGCCTTTGGTTCCCCTTAGGCACTAATGAGAGTAAATTGAATTTTTTTGAGTTTCGAGTGTTTGCCGCCAAGTTTCTTTTGTCAATTTATAGGTTTTAAGTGATGCTCTTTACGATGGAATAGTCAAAATCTGGATTCCTTAAGTTCCCCATAAAGTGAACTTATACCAATCAGTGGACTGGAATAAAAAGTAAAGTGACTCATATGTTATGAGTTTGCTTTTTGATTTTGCCCCACTGTATACAGTGCCCTATTATATAGGGCATTCCATACAAAAAAGAAAGGAACAACGAAATAAGGAAAAGAAACTAATATAACTATCTATTGGAGAAGAGCACACAAGTCAGAAGTGCACTTCGGATTAGAAAAAAACTTTTACATTTTCAAACATCCCGAGAATATTATTTTTCCGATCGCTTAAATAAACTAATAAAACTAGCTTGCAGTTTGAAGTGTTAAAAATCCCAGCGATAGATGGCGCTACTTTCTCAGAAAGAGATAAAAAAGAAACATTATTTTTCTTTAATCGTCTCTCATCCCTATAAATGCTCAATATGAAATTTTGTTCACTAACTCCCTTAATGAAGTACCTTCGTGAAGGCTCTATCGATTTAACGGTCTTTTCTTACCTTTTACGAACATAGTTGGTCCAGAACAAGAATGAAAAAAATTCTTTTTCTACAGTTAGATGAAGAATCCCTTGAAGGACTTGGTGAATCACGTAGTCTCTTGACGAAGTATAGTCGTAAATAAAAAAAGAAAAAGAGTCTTTCTACAGTTAGATCGTTGTTACCTTTACGAACCCTTTTCACGAAGTAATGTTTAGAACGGGCAAAATGGAACAGAAATCTTCTGCTCACAAATAGAATTAACCTGACACCATTTCTGTGGGTGGAGGAAAGCACCAAAGAAATCACACCGTCTTCTCCCAAAAGAGTAGAAACACCCCAGGACGTCGAAAACGGTGTAATTAATTGCCAATTAGATGCCATTTAATACGCTGTTAATAAGCATTTAAACGGCATTTTTATGACATTTGATCCCGTTTTTTGCCATTATAACTGGGAACGTTTAAATACATTTATTTCACATTTTTTTAAATGTCAAAAAACACAGATCAGATAACAGGCATTTAACTGCTGCCAGTAACCCTACTGGTCACATTTTTTTGCCATTTAAATATCAATTGCTAGACCATTAGAAAATGTCAAGAAAATATCTTCTGAACCTGAGGTACTATCACCTGCATCGAGTCAAGAACCACAGACCACTTCTTCGAGGCAAGTTTCTATGACTCGTATAAGTGAAGAAGAGAAACACTCTAAATTATTTTAAAGTCAGAGTCATTTATACTATCCATAACGGCAGAATAAAACGGTGAATGACTTGTTGAGCATAAACTGGCTGTTAAATGCCATTTTATGACCAGTTTTTTGCCATTTTGAAATGGAGGAAAAACGGACATTTAACGGCCACATTTATTCGGCATTAGTGAACGCGGTCTAATAAATGAACGAAAATGTCATTTACTGGTGTCCGTAAAATGACAATTTTTCGGACATTGCCTATAATCTGGCATTATTTTCACCGTTATTTCAAAGTCAAAAAATTGTCATTATAATGGCCGTTAAATGACAATTTTCATTCGATTTTTACACGATTAACAGGCCATTTTTTGGCATACAGTTAACAGGCTGTTAACGGACAATTAAATGCCAGTTGCCGACCTGGGACACTGTCTAATAACTATTTTCTCAAGGAAACTAGGTTGCTAGCTTATACTGATGATTTTGAATCTTTTATCCAAAGCTTAAGGGAGAATTAAGAGGGAGCACAAAAATACAAGTTTAAATCATACAAGAGGAAATATTTACGGCTTATTTTCTTTGACTGATCATATATTACATATTCAGAATAGAGCCCTGTAGGTTACAATTTTTATAGGTTAGGTTGGGTTGTAAGTTACGCCATTCCCAAGTAAGCAAAATATGAGTGAAATGACTGGTCTTTTTTCCTAGTCCGGATGACCGTCCCGACTAGCCTTTACGACAAAAACGACTCCGTCATGACTAGATCAAAATTTCAACCGTTAATTAAAAGAAAACCGTCCATAGTAGTGTTCAATTCTCAGTTGCTGGATTTCAATTCTCTGATTCGTGCAACTAGATAAATTGCCAAAAAATTGATATTTGTATCGATTGGCATTGCGTTAAACCCGATGCATCTAGATAAGTCAGTTCTTTTTACTCTTTTATCCAGTTGCTCGTACATACTCATTGGAAAATGCATTTAAACCTTTAAACACTTTACAGCACACCAGCTACCACTACGTAAGTCCTGATCCTGCCCCCTTAACAAAAAACTGATCGTTCATCGTCATTGTCATTAACCACGTCCTCATAACTGCTTCACGAGAACTTTTCATTAAAATACCTGTGAACGTTGCTACATTGTCTGTGGCCAATCAACACGTTGTTCTGTAAATGACCAGTATTGTCTAAAACTAAAAAGTACCTGATTAAAATGAGAGTCCATTTCTTGAGCTTTCATTACCACACCGATACTTAGTACTGACAGCTGAAACTTCTCAAAAGACATACAAAACTGAGTGTGAATTGCAAAAAAAAGTATCTCTTTTGAGACCTAGCATATTGCGCTTATAAATTCTCTTTGCCATTTATATTCGTTGGTTTGCCGTACTTTTCTCAAAGCTTACGCCCTAGAATTCCTTCTCTGCTACTTTTATAGTTCTCTAATATAACCATCACATTGAATTTTTTTATCGTTTTACTTAATTCATTGAATTCGACTGTTGTATAAAATGCTTCAGGCACTTTTACCCACAATGGATATCTATAGATTCTATGCAGTATTATGACCATTTAACGAAAAGTGAATTATTGTCATTGGCTAATTCAAGAATATTACATTTCACTATCAGGACTATGTATCGCCTACGTATATAGTAGAAAAAAATCGAAGTTAAAGTATTCTTGTCATGTTTTTGCTGACTCGCCCCACCTTCGGCAAGTTTCATTAGGCATCTAGCAAAATTGGAGATATCTCTTCTAGCACCAGAACGAGGAAGAAAAAAGAAGTTTAAAAAAGTGTTGAAAGAATACCGTGCATTGCAACGTGAGCACACACTATATATAACGTGAATAAGAAAAGAAGATCGCTATTTGTCGCAGCATGAATGAAAACAACGCTGCATTGACTTTTCCTCTTGCTTCATACGACAAAATGACCTCTTGCTTCGTAGCAACAAATGTAAATATTAAAACTTTGGTCAAAAAAAGAGACATTTTAGGCCTGTAGCAACAAATGTATATTGGCCGAACTGATGCAAATTGATTTACACAAAATAATTATTTCGCAACAAAGTTTATCATCTGATCATTGTAAAGTGTTTCTCTATCAAATTCTCAGAGGTACCTGACTGCCTCTGTTATTGTCATCATCTGTTAAGCGAATATGTTTTATTTCAGGTCTGAAATTTTTGCATTCTGCTGGTGTGATTCATCGTGATTTACGCAACTTGTTTGTTCAAAGTAAGTTCTTAGCAAATTTTTTCATGAAGGCTGTGTTCGATTGTTTAAAACTACTGTAAAATCGATTCTATTGCGTAAATTGAAGAACGGATTGTTTTATTGTGTGTGCTGATGTCTTTTTAAGATATGTGATTTGGGAAGATATTTGGTGACACCTTAATGACTATTTGGATATATTGTTAAAAATTTTCTTTTTTAGCCTATTCATGTACCGTCAACTTGCTACGTACCAATATATACAGCTGCTGTTGAAAAAGCCCTACAAGACGAAGATGGTACGTTTTTTCGTCTTTTTTAATAAAAGGTTCATCTACTACGCTTTTTTATTAGGAGATTTGGAAAAGGCAGTCGCACATAATTTCTTTTGCCAAACAAGAGATATCTTTATGGAAAGATATCCCAACTCAAAATGAATGATTGATTATCAAAATATTAGTCTATCAATAATAAGACAATATCCAAATCTCAGTAAAAAGGAAGATTTTAAACTGGTTAGTAGATCTGGTTTTCTTCAGAAAATAAAAGATTATCGGCAATCGGTTTTTTCTAGACTGATATATCAACATGCTTAGCTAAAAGCTGTAAAAATAAAAGAGTTGATTTGAAACGAAAAAGAGGATTTTTACCAAAACGGAACAGCCAAAATCAGAAAAAACAAGCTTTTGTACAAAAACAAACAATCGACGTGGATCATGATGAGCTAACAGATTCATAACAGAACGTAAGATTTTTCACGAAGTATCTTCGATTGTACGTATCCTTTCTGTCAACATACTTACTCAGGCGTACTAATTATGGTTTCATTTATTGTAGGAAAACCGGAACAACTCCAAATTCATCACCATTACCACGCAGACCTATTCACGAGTCGCTCCCGCATCTTTATCTACCTGATGTTGAGGTAAAAGATCTCGCATAATGTGTTTTTACTATTTCAGATTGTATCCTTACTTTTTTTCAGCCACATCCTGATCTTTATCATGATGCAGATGCGATGACTGTAGCAACGCAAATAACTATCGATTCAGATGAAACAAGAACAACAGCAATTAATGAAAAAGAAGCACTAGACACAACGAATGAAAATAATTTAAACACAAGCAAAACAGTTGTTGATTTTCATCGATGCTACCACAATCAGAAACATCATCTTCGTCGCCACCTTTTCTTCCTGAATCCCATGCCTCACAGACGAATTTGACCATTGTCTTCCAATAAGGCTGCAGCAAGACAATGGTCAAATTCAATAAACCAATTATAACGTAGTGAATAGGTAGTTTAGTGTTTGTGCGGACTAAAACGGCTCATTCCAATGAGCTGGGAATTTTACCATAACTTAATTATGATAAAATACAATTTCTGTAAAAAGCACGTGAACTTCTGGTTCGAAAAATTTCTGCATATCCTGAATTTCTGTAACTCAAGAACGAAGCGTTTTTCCCATGGTTGGTCAATAGACTGTATTGATAGATATATACACGGATATCTTGAAGATATACGTCGTGCATGTGCGAGAAGAGATATCTTCAATTTTGCTAGATGCCTGTTATACATTCTGGCCATCCAACACCGTTCTTATCCATACAGATTTCTTTCACGACGAATTTTTACTATTTAATTTTTTTCTGAACAAAGTATACTTCAATAATCTCATTCAATGCTTTCGCATATATGAAAGATAAAATACAAGTCTTAGAAGTGTCCAAATATTTTGGTGTCTTCTCCTTTCCGACTTTTCGAAAAAAAGTCGACGAAACGAGAATATGACTTCGAAGAATATCAAAGGCGGAAGGGCGGTGTGAGAGTGAGTCGGCGAAACGAGAACTAATCAATATTTTATCATTTATTTTATCCGAATGACTATTGCCACGCTCGGGGTGGCAGTAAGAAGCTATTGCCAGTCCAAAGACTGGCAGCAAAGAGCTATTGACACTCCATCGAACCGGAAGCAAGAGCTATTGACAGTCCAAACTGCACTTATGCACTGCATAAATGTATTATTCAAAGTGTTATGTTGAGTTAGTTCTGAATTTGACGATCTATGAGAGGTGGTTTGGAGCGGCTCTTGCTGCCAGTTCGATGGGGTGTCAATAGCTTCTTGCTGCCAGTCTTCGGACTGTCAAATCTCTTTTTCTACACCTAGGCGTAACAACGAAAAATTTTCTTTTGAATAAAGTTACTTCACATTTAAAAAAGTGAGATTATTCTTCGAAATGTGATGTCGCATATAAAACATAATCTATTTACAACAACTGCATTAAACATTAAATTTTGTTATAAATCATTTGCCATAGAACTCTTGTAATGTTGAGTATTGATATTAGCTGTATAGAGTAAAATGATCGTTCTGTTAATTGAGAAATTTTCTACAATGTATATTTATTTGGCTTTGATGATAATAAAGTGAAATTCTATGTAAACACGCGCACACACACATGCACACACGGACATATCTATATACGAAAAGTATAGAATACAGAAAAAAAATAACTAGATTGGTTGTAAGATACATTCGCCTTGTGTACATAGAGATATAGAAGAAACAAAAAATCATTCAGACAAATCTAAGAAAGAAAACTAACAACAATCAAAGAAGAATTATTCATTGAGTACATCGAGTCATTACACAAAAGCGTGTTCAAATTAGAAATCGTAGCAAGACACATTCGCGCGATGTCAAAAGCCCAAACATTTCTAAGGCATAAAAACATCATTTTTTAATTCGTTTCTGATGTTTTGCATACGATTTAAAATTTGAACATAAAAAACCAAAATGCGCATACGCATACACAATTTGCATTATTTTTTAAAAAAAAAGACACAGATGATAATCATTCTTATTGCAATAAACGAACACGGACGGAAAACAAACACATGAAAAATTGCTGATAATGTTGATGGTAGATACGTACTGTTTGATAACAGCAGTATATGTTCAACAAAAGAGAGGATGTCGATGTAAAATAATTGTTTTTCGTCTTGCTAATAAGCGCCCAGTGTCACGTCACTGTCAGAGCAAAGAAACATTAAAAATAAAAACGAACAAGAATAATTTCATTGTTTTTTTTTTGTTGTACCTGAGTTAGGAATTATTTATTTATCATACAATGATGAAAAAAGAAATTTATGTTACTGCAAGCAACGAAGAAAAATCGATAGTCACATCTGTGTAGCGAAAAAATTCTTGAAATTCTCACTCAAGAAAATACATATAACGTTCAAGATGAGAATATAGATATTTGAGAGAGGATTTGGTTTTTGAAATAGAAAGAAAATAAACGATCTTTCGCCACGAAACAAATCGTATGTCTCTTTCTTGAAGATTAACTTAACCAGTAGAATACGGCGAACACATTTTACCTCAAAAAAGGAGCATTGTTTCTTTTCCAATAGAACACTGTTCCAAAAAAATGGTGGGCACTTCTCTGGGTTCTCCATTGGAGTGGATTAAGAAGAAAATGATGGAAGAAAAATTAATAAAGGTAAGAAGAGAAAAAATTGTCATTATAAGACGAAGAAAAGAATTCACTAGTAGAGCAACGAGCACATGCTAAACATTACATAATTTCATATATACACTGTTAACGAGACAACAATTAAAAAGAGTTCATTTCAGATATTTTTAGGAGTTCAATACATGCGCGCACATACCACACTGTTGGTTTTCATGAGCGAGAGTGAGAGATTGCACTGTTAACACAACAGCTCATAGCACCCTGTCTATTGCACCTATGAGTAGTTGTATGTTCATGCGGGAGACAGAAGAGAGATTAGATATTATTGCTGTGCACAAAGAATGAGAGAGTTGAAAACGGCAGCAAAACATACATTTAAAAAATGTACAGAGATCAATAGATGAATGAACAAAAAAAAAACGGAGGACGGTTTTATCCGGTTATGTTGAGAGTTCCTATACAGTCCATTTGCGTTAAACATATTGCAGCCAAAAAGGAAATCATATTGAATTACAAAGATACACACACACACGCACATACAGCTATCGAACGTTGTAGCCAAAACAAAGAAAACTAAATCATTACAGAGAATTGAACTATATGAGAGAAAGTGATGTTGATAATAGAGAAGAAAATGCATGTTTTTTGGATTATATACGACTGTTTACATAGACAGTAGTAAGAGAAAGAGAAAAATACACGATAAAATTTGTTATTAAGCGAAGTACATAACTTGAGCTGAATCTGGATGAACTGTAACAGCACGACTTAACTGGACAGCTTGTTGACCGTTTGAATCACCATTTGAACTTTGATGAGAACCCTCATTACTACAATTAGAACAATATAACAAAAATGTTAGTCAAGTAATATATTATTTCGTATAAGGAATGTTTAAGTAAATCATTTAATGATTTCTCATAATTCTTACAATAAACCAATGTATTGTCTGATCCAAAATAAAACTGATGTTTTTCCAACATACCTTTCTGGTTCTCGTTCAATAAGATGATATCTTGCTCTAAATGCGACTAAATGTGCATAATATGCTGGAGCTGGAATACTAACAGATCTTGTACATCTCACATAAGTATGGCATAGCTGATATGTTAAAGCTTGTAATTCATCGGCTGAAAAATGATTATCATCCCACAATACATGATAATGACTTGGCCGAGAAGTACCCTGAATTCCAGCATGTGAACATAAATAGAAATCAAATTCGGTTGGATGAGTAATAGCCACATCGACCGTGGTACCAGGCGGAATATTACCACTTTTACCACACTAAATATATAAAACGTTACGATTGAGGAAAAGTTGATTCACAGAAAAGGATCATTTTTGAAAATCATTTGAGAAAATAACAGCAATAAGTCACACACATTTATGTATGTACTATATACCTGTTCTTTTTTATCCGCACAAAATAATCTTGTATGATGTCTTTTTTGTACAACAATAAATGTAATTCCTGGCTGGTAAGATGATTCTAAACGAACACATGCTTCTCGAACAGCCATTAATTCATGAGCCAATACCTATAAAAATATAAAGTTAGAGAAGATATGAAATTATGTTTATAAGCGTACATGTGCAAATTGTCCTTCTGATACACCGTCTCGATATAAAATAATTCTGGCTGGTTTAAATCGAGTTGATTTATAAAACTGGATTAATAATTCTCGAACCATAGTACACAGTTCAGCAATGACTTCATGGCGATGCATTTGAATACGAACAGTAGCAGCATATCGAGATGGATGAGCATCCATTGAACCAACAACCTAGAATAACAAAACACAATGTTTAATTATAGAAAAAAGTACATAGTTCAATTTTTGTTTAAAAACAATTGTCAAGTAGGTTAGGATCAACAACTACTATTTTCTCTATAGAATTTATGTTGAAAGTTATTATAAAATAAATTTCAATAAAAAATTATAAAAGTACTTACAGCGGCAATGGATGGTTTGGAACGATCACCAGCTGGTGGATGTGTAACATCAGCTCCGATAAATATGACTGGTTCACGAAATACACTTATTGGTCGAACGCTTGGTACTAAAATATTATTAACACCACCAAGTTTCACATTGATTTTTAAACATAAATTTGATAGAGTTTGTGGCGTTGTTTTATTAACATTTTTAGCTTGAACACATTGGGTGGCCAGACCGATAAGAGTATCACCAACACGTTTAACTTCTGCATAAACGGGCGTTTTGCCAGGTAAAACAACAACAATGAGTTGAAGACCCTGATACGTTGTTTTTAAAAATTTAAACATTGGTTCTACTTGTTCGATTCCTGTTGCGTATTTACAGAAACAGGGTTGACCAACAATAGGCATACCAGCATCGTTTGATATACGCTGTAGTTGTTGAGTAAATGTTCTACCAGAAATAACAAGTATTATTAGTAGACACACACACAATATATGAATATACAGGGCAATCCAAAACTTAGTCTACCAGGATAAAGTGTAACTGAGTATGTTAAGTTTTTAAAATTTGTTTCTCAATAGTTTTGATAATTTTTAGTTCTATTTTTTATTTTCATTTCAGTTATTAATAATTGTGACGTGAATAAATAATTATAATGTAATTTTGATATAAATAAAAATAAAATGTACATGTTAATGTATGTCTATCTCAGTAAACTAACTTTTGGGCCAGCCTGTATTTTATTTTAACGGTTATATTTATTACCTTAGTGCTGCTTCATTACAATTTCTTTGTGGTGC